CATTTAAGCTGGCTGGGACATTAGAATTGGAGCATGATAGACCAGAGTCCAGGCTTAAAGGTAACTGGAAGGCAGAGATGCTACTGATATAGAGAGGTTGCAGGGCTGCAGTGTAGACAGTGTAGACAGTTCCAGGACTGGGGTGTAGACAGAATCAAGCAAGCCCAGACACCAAGGACAGAGATGAGCAGCTTAAAATACAAGCTGGGTGGGGTCCACTCACCCAGCAGGCAGGCCGACACTCTTTCCCAACAGGAGTTTTCTCAACACTTCTCAAAGTGCACTGAGTCCTCCACATCTCCCTTGGGTTTTCATCTCACTTTGTTCTTGCATTCTGAGTGCTCCACACTTCCCCATCTCTGCCCCTACTTCTGCTGTTGACTGAGGGTGTGGCTGTGCCCTGTATGAGTGTCACTGTGTGGGAGTTGTATTACGTTACCAGGGATGCTGTAACACAGGGCTTTTATTTTTATTTTGCAGCACTGGGGGATGAATCCAGAGCCATCACACTGAGCTATCTTCCCACTCCTTTTGCTTTTGTTTTTTATTTTAAGACAGAATCTTGCTAAGCTATGCGGGCTGGCTCCGATCTTCCTGCCTTAGCCCCCCAGAATGCTGGGATTACAAGGCATGCACCACCAGGCCTGGTGACTGGGGGCTTAAACAACAGAAATGTATTGTGTCACAGTTGTGGAGGCTGGAAGTCCAAGATCACAGTGTCAGCAGCAGACCCTGAAGGACAGTTTGTCCTATGTCTCTCTCCTGGGTCCTTGTGATCATCTCTGGTGTAAAGGACATCCGGATTTTTACCTTCATGTTAATTTGATAGTCCCTCTGTGTCCAAATTTCTCTTTATATAAGGACACCAGTCACACTAGATTAGAGGCTGCCCTATTCCACCTGCTCCAGTAGCATCTAATCTTAACTAGTTACATCTGCAATGATGCTATTTCTAAGTAAGGCCACATCCTCAGGTTCTGGGATGGCATAGCACCTCAATACATGGATTATGAGGTGGGGAAAAATGCAATTCAAGGAGGGGCCAAGATTCCAGCACTTACCACAGGACCTAGCATATGGAAGGTATCCCATTACCCTTCTGTTACCTACCCACTGACGAAAGTGCCCAACTTAAGGACTGTACACACACACACACACACATACACACACACATGCACGCGTGTGTGTGTGCGTGCGCAGGCACGCCTGACAAAACAGAGCTGTCACTATAGCTTCTGGGGAGGTGCCAACCCTCACAGCCAGACTTCCAAATCCTCCTTATCACCAGGACACAGCGAGCAAGATAAAGACACTATAGCCAATTGACAAAACCCTTCTTGAGAAAAGCTCACTCACAGCCTGGCACTCTTCTGAACTCAAGGGAACCCTGAGCACAAAGTGGGAGGAGTACAAGTTTTCACACCCCATCTTTGTGCTCCAGCACCACGGGTTGGGCCAACTTCCCGGAGTTCCAGCCAGATTAGTAACAGCAGATGCTGGCATCCAGGGTGACAGAGAGTACCTGTTACAGTTTAGATCTAGAATGTTCCTCCAAAGTCTCATGTGTCCAGAGGTGGGGCTCTGGAAGGTGACTGGGCTGTGGGGGCAGTATATTAATCAGTGAATTAGGCACAGTGAAGGTGCTGTTAGGCTGAGCGCCATTCCTCCACCATACTGTTTATGCTTTGGAGTCAGCTGAGCAGGAACTGAACCCTCTGAAATCAAGAGCCAAAATGAATCTCTTCTCCTTCAAATTGCAGGTGTCAAGTAGTTTGTCCCAGAGACAACCAAGTGACTAATAAAGCATCCACCCATACATCAGACAACTCAAGTTCCCATCCTGACTCCACCACTCACCACCTCCTCACTGTGTGGACTCTGCCAAGGAATGACCTCCATATTCCTCAGTTTCTTCATCCAGAATATGAGGGTGCTAAAAGCACCTATCTTGGGAGAACTTCATGAGAACAGAAGGGAAAATACAAATAGAAGTCCGAGAATGGTGTCTGATGTCTAGTTTGTGCTCCCAGTTTCTACTTCTTATTAATCCCCATGTGAGCTCCCACTGTCAATCTCACCAATCACCACGGCTTAAGTCATCAGCAGCTCCTGGTGACTAGTGACTAAGGTGCTCATTATCTAATGCTGTGTAGCAAAGTACCCTGAAACTCGGAGGCTTATAAAAGCAAACATTTGTTCTCTCAGTTTCTGAGGGTCAGAAATCCAGGCGTGGCCTGGCCCTCGCTCGGCATCTCTTTGAACCTCATCTTGCAACTGCTGCTTAGGCTGCTGGTCAGGGCTGTCCCAGCTCCTGGCCCCATGGTCCTCTGCAGAAGGCAGCAGATGACCTCACAGCTGGCATCCATTAGAGACAGCTGGGGGCCAGCAAGAGAGTAAGGGAGCATCTAAGCTTATAGCTTATGGTCTGAAGGGACAACAGCTGGGCAGGGAAGGCACAAAGCTGAGATTCTAAGGAAGTGTGCTCCGAGTTAAGTGTCTGTGAAGAGCTGGGATCCACTAGGTATGCATCCAACTTTTTCTACAAATTTCGTATTTGATAGTGGAATAAGGAGAAAGGCAGAATTTCAGAACTCTAACTCCAACCAGCCTATAAAGCAGCTAGCTCTGATGGATAAGCAAAGATCTGACTCAACAAAACACTCAAATACTCTTGGGGAGAGGGTGCCTCACAAGCCTCCAGCACCCCTCACCTTCACGTCTTAGACTTGGCAGCCCTTTCACCAAACATTTCAGGATACTGTAAGTGAACCTAAGACACATCAACACATCAGAAACTACGTAAGAAACAATATTTATATAACAATGTCCTCAATCCCTCCTGCCAATGCTAATATTTACCCGGCTTTGTGATTATTGGCCCCCACTTGGTATCTATCTCTGGCTGCAGTTTGGCTTATATTCTGGTTTATAATAATCTGACTCTATGTAAGGTTAGCAATATCCAGAAGTTCAGAAATTCCAAGGCAAATGGCAAGAGGCAAAAGCTCTCTGTTCGTGTAGAACAGTGGCTCTCAGACTTTAGGGTGCAGCAGAACCCTCTGATGTTTGCTAAATAAAACAGAGATGGCTGGGCCCAGCCTCGTGGCTGACTCCGAGGGTCTGGCACGGGACCCCAGCACTTGCATTTCCAGAGAGTTCCCAAGTGTGGCTGCTCTTGCTGGCCGAAGATCATGCTTTGAGAAGACCCGTGAAGGAAGAGAAGACCCAAGAAGAAAAATTTCCAACAGGGACAACCACAAACTTCGATTCTACCAAGCAAGACTCACCACCATTAGCTGTTCGCTGCGTGAATTCTGTGTCTATGCCGATATACATGGTCTTTTCTACAGTCCTCCAGCATACAGATTTGGATTGAGCATAATACTTATTTTGTGGCTCACTCTCACTATGTGTTGACTCATTCGTTCACTTTTTGTACTGGTAATGAAACCCAGCTTCTTCACATTGAGCTCGATCCCATCCCCTTTGAGACAGGGTCTTGCTAAGTCACTCTGGGCTTGAACTGCTAATACTCCTGCCTCAGCCTTGCGGGATGCTGGGATTACAGGTGTGCACCACCATGCCCAGAGCATTCATTCACTTTTAATAACGTACTAAAACACTAAACAAAACAGAAGTTAGGACCTTAAAGATAACCTGCATTTAGCTCCATGTGACTTAGCCCATGTATCCTACCTCCCAACATATAAGTAACCAGTTAGCCGTCATTTCTTGTCTGTTTGTAGTTTTGTGAAATCTATAAACTTTGGCAGTTACAGAGCAGAATACTGAGTAAGACTCAAAACAAATGAACTCTACCAACAAGCAATAATGTGGGTGAATCACGGTCACATGATATTAGTAAGGGATAGAAGTAAAGATTACATACCTAAAATACCAGTTTGTGACATTAAAAATACATATTCCTTAGGATGCCCTAAAACAGGCACACATTTTAAAACTTTAGTATTTAATCTTCATCTTGGAAGAAATGCATGTCTACTGCATAGCCCTTGTGTGCTACCCAGGCTCCCTAAGAGAGTTCATCCTTCCAGCCTCCAGCCTCCATAAACCAGCACTGAAATCAAGGGCTTGATAGGTGCAGCAACTTACATAAGAGGAGGCAAAGGTGAAATAAACACAAGGGGGAAACGTCTGCTAGTGACTGGAGAAATGCAAATCATTTCATGACTACAAAGTTGGCAAAAATGAAAAAAAAAAAGAGAGAGACAGAGAGAGAGAGAGAGAGAGAGAGGACAGCAGTGAATGTCTGTGATGTGACAGTAAAAAAAAAAAAAAAAA